GTCTTTTGTTGTTTTTTTTTTTTTGTACCCCCCCGCGAAATTCTCTATCGAATGGTGTATGAAGTGTCGAAAAATAAATTTCACTGCAAGGCTGCCCTGGGTGCATCTTACTTATAGTTGTGTTATACGAAAGATAAAACAATTGACATAAATTCGTCATTAATCAGTGTTATCAAAGTTAGTGATTCAGTCCTTTTATGGTAGTTTTTTTCTCAAAAGAATGGAAATTGCTGCTACTTTAAACACTTTTCTCTGATCAATGAACAGTTATAACGTCAAATATTTTTTGTATTCATGTTTTTCTATATATGGTTGTTTAAATTGTTTTCGTGTTTGATCAAACTTGTTTTAGGCAAACTGTTTTATATGTAAAATAGATCTGTATTTAACACTAATATTTTACACAAGCAATTGTTAACTTTTGTATTTGAAAAATTCTTCTTATGATTCTTCTTTTACAAAATATTTTAACTTAAAAAACGATTTTTCTATCGGATGAGAAACTAACAAACACAATCTTCTCTTTCGAATGAGTGAGAGCGCCATAGAGAAGAAACTCTATTAACTTTTCCAATTAATTTTTTCCGAGATAACGACAAATCATCGAAAGATTTTTTCATCGAACGACATTTTGTCGCATTGATGTACGAAAGAATTTTCCTAGATAACTGAACGATAACCACAAAATAAATAAAAATACACTAGCTGAGTTGAAGGAAAGCTTACAAAATGTAAGTTAATTCTTCGATATGTGACACAATGAAATACAAATATAAAGTAGAAGAGAAAAGTGCCTTTGAATGTCGTACGATTTAAACGTGATCATAGAAGAACAGAAAGGCTTTTTAAAAAGTTACTAAAGTAGTATATGTATACATGTCATATTGAGATTCGCGATTTAATGAATAATTTAAAAGATAGATCAAGAACAACTAATGAGACTATCAATGATATATTATCAACTTTTATGACTGATAGATTCCGTATAGAGAATCATGTAAAAAGGGAGACAAACAATATGACATGTGTACATATACTGCTTTATTAAGTTTTTAAAAAATCTTTCTGTTTTTCTATGATCACGTTCAAATCGTACGATATTTAAAGGCACTTTTTTCTCTTCTACTTTAGATCTGTTTCATTGTATCACATATCGAAGAATTAACTTACATTTTGTACACTTTTCTTCAACTCAAGCTACTTACAGCTAGTGTACTTTTATTTATTTTATGGTTATCGTTCAGCTATCTAGAAAAATTCGTTTGTACATCAATGCGACGAAATGTGGTTCGATGAAAAGACTTTCGATGATTTGTTATGGACTCAATTTTTTTAGAAACTATGTAATACACAATTTCCAATTCTACAAGAACTGATAGTAGTTCTCGGTCAAAAGAACTGAACTAATAACGAATTCTTCGAAATTGGACATTGAAATTGGATGTCACCTCTAATCAGAGCAAAAGTTAATCATCTTTGAAATGTACAGTTTCTCTACTACAACTAGACCAACATTAATGTTGACTTGATAATTTTACTCATGATTTTATTATTTCTATCGAGAAACTTGATTTGTTTTATTTTTCACTCTAACATAGAGTATGTAGATCTTATATGACTGCCATTTTCCATTATTAAAGATGTAGATAGTCGATCTTCACTCATTTTCGAAACTTTCTCAATAAAATAATTTTGATCTAAATGAACAACGATAAAATGAATTTTATAACCATTTTGGCTAATTCGATAATAGTTTTGTCTGTTAATCATTCAAAAATTTAAATAATATCGATTAACGATTCTTTTTAGGTTTTCATCAATTTTCTTTCGTGGACGAGATGATACATATTAATTTTTTATAATTTCCACGTATTCCATATAATAACACGAATTGTTTTATACATCTGATTCATTTCCAACAATAAATCGTTTCAAATTGTAGATTTTGACGATAATTCAATAAAACATTTTCAGAAGTCAACATACACATTTCTCACATCTTCGCATGTATAATGAATGACATAATTTAAAATCATCATATTTTGGAGTTTTTTCTTCCGTTAGGTAAACGACATTTATCTGCAAAAGAAAACAAGTCGGATACAAAAATAATTGCTTTATCAGAAAAATTTAACCTTTGAAACAAAATTTTCTTTTCTTTTGATTATCACTTATAAGGGAAAAGATATCTGAAAGAGTGAGATAGTTCGTTCCATCATTGATATAGAAAGTCACGTGAGATTATTAGCATTGATAGTTTTGGTTAATTGTATAAAGGTCAAAGGTTCAACAGGATCCTGTTCTGACTAAATCTTATAACTCTCATTTAATCGGATACATTTTGTTTTCTTTAAAATAATCATTTTTTTGGTTAATTATAGATATGTGGCAACAATCGAAAACAAAAATTCCCAAAGCAATAACAACAATAGAAAAAGAAAAATGAAAAAATCAACAAAAATAAATTTGAATGTCTCATAGTATAATGAAAAAATGAGAAAAGTCACATCCACATATTAGCACAAAAACTTCTCTGACTAATTAATACATTGCTGTTATAGATGGTACGAATAACAAAATACGAGACTCAAAATGAATAGAAGAAAAAACAACAACGACAACAACAATAATAATAATAATCGTAGCTCGTTCATCACAGCAAATTCTCATTTATGAAAATAATTAAATTTTTATCACTAAACAGTGTTATAGATTTTCTTTTAAGTATAGAAATGTCGGAATGTAGCAGTTATCTTGCACGTTACAAAGACATAAAACCCGAGTTTAATGCAAAAATTAGTTGTCACCGAATAGAAATTTTATTAGATTAAAAACAGCATATTTAAAAGAAAATAATAAGATAAAACGCTGTCAATGAGTGAACAACGTGAAAAAGAGAATGTTCTTCTAGAACCAAACAGCAAATTAGTAATAAATAAAAAAACAAAACATAATATTTGGCCTATATGCTCTTAGGCTTTTGTTTGATAGTTGAATGAACATGAAATGTGAAAATATCATCATGGTAAAATTTCGCCGTAAAGTGAAAATTTTTGCTCATATGTCTGAGCTGAACACGTCAAAAGTGAGTAATTTTTATTTGTTAAATCAATAATTGGTAATTGTTGTTTTTTTCTATTTGAATAAAATTTCAAATAATCATTCAGACTTTTGTATAGATTCGATTGCACATCACTCAGTTTAGTCTAAAAGAACAGTTAGTAGATGAAAAATTGCAAAAATTAGTACGAAAAAAACAATATTTCCGTTGTGAACACTTTCTTACCTTGAAAAATGTTTTATCATGTTTAAATATTTTCATGGCACTCAATAAAAGATAATATTCTAAATCATTTTCATCATTATGTTTTAGTTTACAACATTCCAATGATCCAACATCAATTGGATGAGCTTCAGTGTTAAAAATATAACCAGTTTCAAGAAAACATGAACCTAAAATGAACAAAATACTATCCGTCAATGATCATTTTAGAACATAGTTGTTCATGTCGAGTTATGAGTATGAAACATATCAGACCTGTGGGTGTTTGATGTTGGATACTGTATGAGCCATTATTATGTAAAAAATTATTCTCATCAAATATTAAATATAAATATTTAATTGTTTCAGCAAGAAAAAATGATTCCATTCGATTATCAAGTTGATGATCTTTTACATTTTTCAACTAAAATGAGAGAAACATAAGTAAATTAACGCCATTTATCTACACATTCAGCAAATATAAATTACCGATGTATAACCACACGACGTTTTACAGCATGATTCAATCGATTCAAATATATCAGCAGCCATAAATAATAGTTGCTCATCATTCGTTGCTTTGTATACATACATTAAAGATTCAATATGTTCTAAATAATATGATCGATTCATTCAATTAGAAGAAAACGTCAAGTATGATCTTTTAGTTTTTATTACCTGGCCTCAACGGATATCCTGCTCGATTTTGAAGTGGTTCTTGTGTACCTAGATTATAATATTCTGGCATAGAACCGTATTTTCTCCATAATGTGTGATATGAATATAACGTTTTCATTGCACCATCAATATTACCCATTAAAATCTAAAAGAAAAATAACAACAAAATATAAGCTTAATTGTTTAAAATATAAAAAAAGATTTGTTTTTCTTTTTTTGTCACGCTTGACGCTAGAAAGTCAAGTATTTTGTTTGTTGTACTACTTATGTTCTTCAAAAATTAACTCTACCGAGATAGTGTCATGATGTGTCTTGTACCAGCAGTCCTGGATAAAATGCGTCCAATGCTTGAAACATGGGCAATGTTTTTCGGCCTTGATCATTGTTTGCATAAACATACCATCCATCCGAATTAGACATGTACTTTTCGATGGCAATAGCAAATGCTAGAAAGAATATTTAAAAAAGGATTATAATAATTAGAAGTATATTATGATATGTCATACTCACTATTCATCATTTGTATTAGAGTTGGCTCTTGTAACAAAATTGCTCCTTTGACAAGATATTCAAAATAAGAATCTACACCCGATCCAACTGTACAATCAACTGCCGTCCAATTTCCCGTTTGTACATCGATATGATTTCCGACAAGATTAATCGATGATCGTCGCTGCCATAAACTTTGTAAAGCTTTCATAGCTGTTTGTTCAAATATAGGATCACCCGTTAAACGAGATAACGTTGAAAACTCAATTAGAAATGTGCCTACACCAGCTGTACATGTCACGTTTGTTTCATCCGGTGATACTCCCCAAAAAAGATTCACTGTACCATAAGGCATACCTGTTGCTGTATCAAAAGCTAAAACGAGAAATAATTGAATTTTGATTAGAAAGAACAATACAAGATAGTTACCTGGTAATAATTTTCTTGCTAGCGAAACAGCCAAATCAAGTAAAGGACCAGTACATGGCCAAGTTGAATGTACTTTAACATTCATACGTTTGGCAAGTAAATGGGCTGATAACAAACCGCCAATAACTAAAATAAAAATTATACACAAGATTAAATATCGTCAAAATATCATAGTTTTTCTTCGTTTTAACATTGTGATTATGCAGTTGAAATGAGACAAACCTCTTATATTCGTTTCGAATACCGATACGTTTATATCTTTTTCAATATCGATCTTTTTTACTAAGTTATAAACGCGTTGAAATTCAGTGAAGTTATTCAAAACGGCTAATGTATCCAATGCGTCAACTAACGTTAATGAATAACTAGAAGAAAGAAACATACAGTGAAATAAGTAAAATCTTTAAAATAGTCGTCCTACCTCCCCCAAGTGTCCACACCATCACACGTTAACGGTCTTAATTCATCATATGGATAACTATATTTAAGGTAACCATTATACGCATGATAAAACATTTGCTTCACACGATTTCTAAAGAGAAACAAACAACACACGTAACTTCTGACTATCTTTTACTGGAGCCTGTTTCTCAAAAAAAAACTTAAGTTTTGTGAAAGTCAAAATTTTGACCACCCTTAAGTTTTCACTTAATTTTTAAAGTGGAAAATTATCTATAATTTGTAACTTCTTTATTCTACATTTTTTCGTGGTTAGACCCACAATAATTTTAGAAGGATTTTGTTCAAAAATTTCATCTAAATAATCGAAATCTGTTAAAATATGAGTGGCATTTACTGCATGATCTCTGTTTAACTTAAATTTTTTTGAGAAACGTACGCTCAATCAATGTTAAAAAAACACGGCGTTATACTTGTAATAGTGTCGTTTTTTAATATCAAAATGATTCTCATTTGCTAAACTAGTTGAACATAACCAGCATATCGTCAGAGAAAATAGAAATTCATAAAAAAACATTTGCTAAAATCGTCTTTTGAATGATTTTTCTTCTACACATAATTGAGAATAAATAACAAGTTTGTCATTTAATAAATGAACATTCACATTCTAACATTTTCATCTAGAACACAATAGCAATCGAAATCCTAAAATTCGTCAACGTTAACTTGAAACAATTTTTGTGTAATCGGCACAATCTAAAAGGATTATTTCTTTAATGAATTTTATATTTAACATATTATTGGATCTCTTACCGACTAAAAGAGAGCAAAAGAAAGTCAAGATGGCGAATGAATAGCTGGAAGTTTTTACATAATAACACGTTGATGACTAAAAAGAGCCAGTATCTATATTAATTCTTGAAATCAACTTTTTATTCGGGAGACAGCTCGTTTTATGATTGTACAACTTTATTCTTTCCGAAGGTCACAACTTAATCTTGATTGGATAAAAAGTAGGAAAGTAGTGAAGTTAGAAGCGTACACTGTGAAGTGTATGATTGAAAAATCAAATTTGGTGGTGGTACCAGATTTTTATTACTTTAATCGATACTTTTTCGTTGAAGTAAACTAGAAACGCTTTTTCCTACTACCTGTAGACGACGTGTAGCTAAGAAATTCAATGGCAGTGTCCACAATACCATTTAGACTACTGAGTTACTGAGTTTCTAATCCAAATGAACCAGGAACAACTGCGATGGATATGACTCTAAATTCTTTCATTCCAACGAAATGAATCAATTATGAATCGGTGAGGAAAATATGATCACCCCAAAACAGGCAAATCATCGATGACAAGAACATGCATATGGTGAATTGTTGGATGAAGGAAGAGTATGTCCGAAAGTCGATTTATACGCATCTATGTTACTCTGTAGATGTATCTGCAAATGAATAGAATTCCAGCGCTACTATCCATTTCAAAATATACGATCCGTGGATGCTTTTTGAATAACTTTTGATAGGAATGAGACATAGATTAGCGGCTTCCACCATTCAGAAAAGGATGGAAAGTCACAACTGTAAATAAAATAAACCTGGCAACATAAACTTGGCTAGTTATACCAAAATAAGATGAAAACCAAGACTTTGCTTGACTTCTGTTTTGAAGAAAACAATTTGGACTATCAACCCATGAAAAATAATCAATATAATCCTATCGGAAGTTTCTGAAAAACAACCGAGTTTTCTAAAGAACTCTCAGAAAACCTATTTTAAGAAACCCTTCTGAAAAGATTTTATCATACAGGACGAAGCAAATGCTGATTTTTCAAGCAACAAACATATGTATCCTTTTTTACTAATAGGTAAAAGTAAGCCTTTAATCAGTTTCTTACTATTTCCCCAAAGAAGTAAATATGAATTACAAAGAAAATGCTTACGGTAGGAGCAAGAAATCGTTTCAAGGAAAATGCCTTTTTTTTTTTCGTAGATCTGAAGTCTGTGGTTTCGTTTTGATTGAATGATTAGGGAGAGCATAGTGTGGCATACAGATTACGTTCAACCTTTGATGTTAGAGTTTTATTCCTACACGAACATGATATTAAAAGAAACGAGTGCACTAAATAAATATCCAATAAGAACCTTGATGAAGTCGTGGTTAATCATCGACTATGAGCCGCGTAAAATTTCTGAAATATGTTTCTTTATTTTCTAGAAAGAATTGAGATGAATGGGACGAGTAATATAATATATTATACGTCCTATCACCATGGTATTTTTTTGCATTTTTTAAAAACATTTTCGATTTGCTCTAATGAGTACATTCTTAGATCTCTTAAGGATGAATTGTTAAGCTCAGTCTTGGAACATTTCAAATCTGTTTGCTATTTCAATATCTGCTGGCTCAGTTACGCATCTTTTGCAAATCGAAAATAATTTGTTTTAAATCTCTTGTATAATCATAGAAGCAACAAATGGATAAAATAAAACGGTGAAATATTTAAAAACATGATTAATAGTGCAGCTGTTTTGAATTTCATGATATCCATTATTTATTCTCTGGATATTTCGACCTTAACCGATCATTTTCAACATAAAACTAGCGGGCACTCACGCTCTGCGAGAGATGCTAAGCAACTTGTTCTAGTGTGTTTTATGGTTTGCTAGTTATGGATTTAATAGAAATATAAGGTCTCAGTATTACTGTTTAAGTTCAACTTGTGTATAATATATGTATTTGTGGTAATAATCAGTTGTTATATGAAAAGTATAGTTAGTATTTCACAAAAACAAGAAACAAGATAGAAAAACAGGTAGCTGTAAATAGTGGTTATAGAGCATTGTCATGAAGTGAATCACATAGTATGAGAGCATACTGAATATGTATGACTAAGATTGATTATCGTTTTTTTGAAAAAATTACAAGTCCCAAACGGTCGAATCACCTATTTTCGAACGTCCTAATTATAAACTGAAACATCTACACAGACTTTATTAATTCAGATACACTGCTTTGTACATGCGGTTCAATTTCAAGGCATCACGTATAGTTTTTGAGATAATCGTTACAGGAAATGACACATTTTTCCCGTAAAGAAAAATCGCAGTTTATTATTAGAATGCGGTTTTGCGTCGCACCGCGTTATAACTACTGTACAGAAAAAATAAAAATACTTTCTTTTTTCGATACATTGACTCATCTACGTTCAGATAGGAGAGGATATATTTACGAATATTATATTGGTATATAATAAAGTATCGATTAAAGTAATAAAAATCTGGTACCACCACCAAATTTGATTTTTCAATCATACACTTCACAGTGTACGCTTCTAACTTCACTACTTTCCTACTTTTTATCCAATCAAGATTAAGTTGTGACCTTCGGAAAGAATAAAGTTGTACAATCATAAAACGAGCTGTCTCCCGAATAAAAAGTTGATTTCAAGAATTAATATAGGTACTGGCTCTTTTTAGTCATCAACGTGTTATTATATAAAAATTTCAATGATTATAATTATAAAAGAATGCATGACTATAATCAAGAAATTTAGAATAGGCAGATCAGTTGAAGTTACACTTTGATACATTTGTATGAGATATTTCTTCTTAGAAAATAAGAAATCGGATTAAGCAAAATTCTGATCTTTAGCTAACAGCTATCAAGTTAAGCAAATACGTATTGTTACTTAATTAAGAATAAGTATTAAGTAATATTAACCAAGAAGATATCGGTCCTCTGAGGCCAGTTTCCGGCCAGATTGATTACTCTAACCGATCATCATTATTTGAGATAATTTCGGTGTTGTGTGAACACACTTTGAGTATGTGAATCAAATTAAATTGTATTAACATAACAAATAAACGCAGTTGGATAGACCACTGATATAGACCACTATATTGAAATTCTTCACCTTACAAAATGATTCAATTGTTATCACCGTACGGAAGAGATATAGTGGGGGGGTTTTACAGACATTTCGACAGTTGGAAAAGTTAAAATTAAAACAGGTTCGTGTGGAACAAGGTATTGAATTTATACGTATGTGTCTACTGTATGATGTGTTACCAAAATTTGTCAGATTCAAAGCGTGTAACAAAACATTTCGTGATTCTTATAAATACCGTGATATGTGTCGTTCGATGCTCTACAACTGTTATTCGGTGAAGAGAAAGGAACTTAAAACAATTAATCGCTCAATAACCTTGAAGGATATTGAATTGAAAATGAGAATAGGGTCGGTAACTTATGTCAAAATATCATCGCATATGGACAATATTGTTGGAAAAGAGAAAGATTTGTTAAGGACGAGGCATAATAACAAATTACGTGATCTTAGGGTACCCGTGGACAATAGCGATTTGAAGAACAAATTGGTGTTTAACTATTCTTATCGTGCTCTTACAAAAGGAGAAGAAAGTTTATTGTCGCATGGTTGGAAATATGCAATTAATACAAAAACGTTAAACTCGTTGAATGTTAAAACAGATATGGAGTATATGTACTATTGTATGGAGAGAAATTCGTTGATTAATAAGTCGAATATATTGAAAGTAAAAAGTATGTTGAATGAGTTTGGTCACAGCATTATCAGGAGGCGGAAATCTGATATCCCGAACTTATCTTACGAAGAAATTCAAGCGATTGAAACACTCTTAAATGATAAATCGCTGGTTATTTCAAAAGTGGATAAAGGTAATGCTGTAGTCGTTCTGAATAAAGAGGATTATTTGGAAAAAGAATATTCCGTACTTGAAGATAAACGTGTATTCAAATTGTTAAATGATGATCCTACGGACGAACGAGAAAAACAATTTATTGCATTTTTACTGAAATTAAAAAACAAAAATCTTATCACGAATGATGATTACAAAAGAATGCGTCCGGATACGGGATCTCGGACACCAGAAGCATATTTTCTTGTGAAGATACACAAAAAAGATCTGCCTGTAAGACCGATCATTTCGAGTTATGATTCATATAACTATAGAACGGCGAAATATCTTGCTGAATTATTGTCACCAGCAATGAAAGATGGCCGTTCTTATTTAAAAGATACGTTCCATTTCGTAGATAAAATTCGGGAAAATAAAAATATTAGCGGAATTATGTTCTCACTGGATGTATCGTCTCTGTTTACTAGTGTGCCATTAGACAAGTCGATTGAACTAGCCATGATTAAAATTCGTCAGTATCATCCAAAATGGAAAATCGATGACAAAAACCTACGTGAACTATTTTATTTTTGTACAAAAAGGACAAATTTCATATTTGATCATAAAAATTATGATCAAGTTAATGGTGTGTCCATGGGTAGTCCTCTTGCCCCTGTTATGGCGAACTTATTCATGAATGAAATCGAAAAAGAAATAGACAATTACGGGGGGAAAAAACCGGATCTTTACTTGAGATACGTTGATGACGTTTTTGCCGTTATTCATGGTACCCAGAAAGACATTCATGGTTTATTGAAATTCAGGAATAAACTTGACACTCGTATTAAGTTTACGGTAGAAGTACAAAATCAGAATAAACTGTCATTTTTGGATGTAATGGTTGAACGATTGAATAATGAAGAACTGATCACTTACGTATATAGAAAGGCCACTCACACAGGACTATATCTTAAGTGGACTAGTTGTCAGCCAAAAAGTTATAAAATTAACTTGGTCAAATGCCTGTGTACTAGGGCAAAACGGATTTGTTCAAATAATGAATTATTTGAAAAAGAACTAAGTTACTATATACGAATCTTTAGGGCTAATGGATACCCGTTAAACATTTTGAAAAAGACAATACGAGGGATAAAAATGAATCAGAATATACAAAAGCCCTTTCAACCTTCTAATATTAGATGCCTTTACATTTCTTTTCCGTACTATAGTACTGCTTCATTGGTCTTGGCAAATAAACTGAAACATTTTCTGCAAAGTCCAATGAAAAAGGTGAATTTTGGTTTTAAAGCTGTACACACAATATCATCTATATTTAGTAGGTCATTTCGTGTGTCATGTAATTTTAAGAGAGTAGTTTACAAATATGACTGCTACGGATGTATGAATAGTTATATAGGACAGACAGCGAGAGGCGTAATAAAAAGAAAAGAGGAACACCAGAATGCATTTTTTGGAATAGGGTTTTCTAGGATAGCTGTTCATTGTTTAAACACAGGTCATCTTACTAACTGGAACCCGCAAATTCTTGCAGTTGAGTCACATCTTATAAGAAGAACTATTAAAGAGAGCTTGTTGATGAATATTCATATTGATCAAAAGATAAGACTAATTTATTCTCAAAAAAGCTTTGAACTTAACGTATTTTGACGACACATAATTCGGTCGTCATATATTGTGGAAAAGAAAAGTTGTATTTTATTCATTTTATTTGTTGCGTTCTACATACGTGTATTTTTATTTTTTCTTCTATTTTAACCAACTTTCGTCTGTCACATTTGACTGAGGATGTCTTTTGAATAAAGACGAAACGTCCCAAACAGAAAATAGTCGATTTTCATGATGAAAAAGGTGGTGTATCTCTTATTATCTATAGACCACTGAATTAAAATGACTTTTTCCCCAAAACCAGCTAGTTATTAAATGTTAAAGTAGGAGAATGGTAGCTACGTTTTTCTCTATTCCTTTTTTTTCAGCTTAAAGTATCATGCGTTCTAGAATAATAAATTAAATTGTATTAACATAACAAATCGATAGAGTTGGATCGAGCATTGATTTAAAATGGCCTTTTCTTTAAAAGCATAATTTTTTCATATAGTTTAAATTACTTAATGCAGACCTGAGTTAGATCTGTGTTTTTCAAAAAAAACAAAAAAAAATGATCTTCATTTGTCCCCTATAGAGATCATATATATGTTCTCCAAAGATTTACAGAACAAGAACCTTCAGTTTTTTGAAGAATAAAATCATTGTTCTTTAGGTTTTTTTATCTCTACAGGAACAAATTGTTCTTCAGAGAACAGATTTTTCAAGAACTTCCAAAAAACTGAAGAACAAGTTTTGTGTTCTAGGAAGAACACAGCCGATGAAGATCACACTTTCTGAAGAACAACACTTTTGTTCTTCAGATTTTTCATCTCTATAGGGGACAAATTGTTCTCTGAAGAACTCATTTTTTAAGAACTATCAAAAAGTTGAAGAACATAATTTTTGTTCTTTAGAGAACAAAAATTTTTTTCTTCGCCTTGTTTTACATCTGTTTTACACAGATATCGGCTGAAGAACTCAAATCCTCGTGATTCCATTTACTTTAAGAACGTGGCTTTCTTTTCATATACAGAACTATCGTCATAGACGATTTCGATCAGTTTGTCGACATAAAAATTTATTAGTAAGTTGAAATGTTAGTTGCATTAATAAGCAGAAAGGTGATGTATAAAATACGAAAAGTTTCTCGTAGAAGAACAGAAAAACAGGTTTAGTTAAACGTAATATAGCATAAACGAAAAAATACTGTCACAAAGAGTAAAAAAAATAGCTCACTTTCTGAACAGCATACAAGAAAAAGGTGTAAATGAATGAAACAAATGTTAATATAAAAGCATGCATCCGATTAGAGTGGGTTGAGCTAGCTAATACCATTTAGAAGATCTAATCTTCAATGAAGTAATCAACCACAACTCAACTACATGGCTGAGAAGATAACAAAAAAAGGCAGAAACCACAAATGCCGTAAGCGGTAGACGAACAAACATGCAGAATTAAGAATAACGGTAGATAGATAACACACACGAAAAAGAAGAAATCACTCTTATAGCCTAAAAAGGCTAATCGGCAAGGCCAGAAGGTCAAACTCGAAGACTAAAACTTTTGTAGAAGGCAGTCGTTATTACCATTTGACCGTATTTATCACCTCTACCCGATTTGCGTCGATACACGCATTTTCATAAACGAATATTTTAATGGACTGTGGATTCTTGTTCTTTGAAGAACAAAGATTTTTAAGTGTAGACTACACTTCGCATATGGTTTGGCGCATGGTGCTCATTGTAAAATTATTCCGAATGGGGGAATATCATTAGAGTTATTGAAATCAATAGTGAATTGGAACCGAATAGAGGAGCTTTTGCTATTTACGAAGAAATAAAATTTGAATTTTTTAGGATTTATACTGGACTTTCCCAGGATAGCGGTTTAAGTCTATTTATCTTTATTATCTACCATGCCTCTTTTACTTTCTCTCGTTCATTTTGTCATTCATTTTAATTTGCTTTTATCACCTTTTCACTTTTTTGCTTCATATAATACCGTATTTTCTGTACTAAGTCAGAAATTCGTAAAAACAATGATTTCTTTACCAGTATATCACAAACAGGTATTTGAACTGAAGACATTCAAAACGGCTATATGTCAAAAGCAAGAAATCCTGACTAAATTATTTAACCTTGAGACGTATATTTATTCTCAATCGTACTAGGTCAATGAAATGGATAATTAAAAAGATTAAAACTTGTTCTCCCTAAGAAAAAAAAAGTCATGATTATCCGGTCGTGTTAAATATGCATTAATTTATTATCACAGGTAATGTTGTGTCTCATTCGTCTGATTCATGCAGAAGTGTTAATACGCCCTTCAAAACTATGTGTAGTGATATCATATATTATTCTAGAACGGATACTTTAAGCTGAAAAAAAAGGAATAGAGAAAAACGTAGCTACCATTCTCCTACTTTAACATTTAATAACTAGCTGGTTTTGGGGAAAAAGTCATTTTAATTCAGTGGTCTATCCAACTGCGTTTATTTGTTATGTTGATACAATTTAATTTGATTCACATACTCAAAGTGTGTTCACACAACACCGGAATTATCTCAGATAATAATGAGCGGTTAGAGTAATCAATAGGGTCACATGAACTATTAGGCTATTGCACAATTGACGGGATCCTGTCGTTATAATGTATCGATATTATACCGTGCTTCAGAGCCCTGCAGGTTGATCCTAACCTAACCTAGAGATTAGGTTAGGATTCGGTTGCAAAAGTTATAGGCTAGGTTAGGTTATAGGTTGTTCTATTTTTTTTTCAATGGTTAGGTTAGGATTAGGTTGTCGAATCCATAGGTTAGGTTAGGATTAGGTTGTGAAATTTTTTATAGGTTAGGTTATAAGTTGCCAAATATTGGCAACCTGCAGGGCTCTGCCGTGCTTCACCTAAAATTTAGCTAGAACTGGTACTGCTTAGAATGGCAGAATATATTGATAATTTTCGTTGTTGTCCACTCTCACTCTATAAGAACACACAGAGAAATCTTTGGGCAAATATGACCCTGGAAAGAAAATACTTTTTTAACATAGGTGGACAACATTTAACATCCCCAGGCACAAAAAAATCGTTAGAAACAGCAAAAACCGCGTTAAAAAGTCTTTTGAACACCCTACAAACGCGTTACTTTTGAGTTAAAATCGTATAACAAACCCGTTTTCAAACGCTCTAGAACGCGTTCCGTAACGCGTTTCAGATGAAACATTTAACGCGTTTTTAAGCACAATCGAAATATCGAAGAAATATCATCTTTTCGTTCTTTTTCAGTTTTAGACCATCAGTTTTGTACTTACTGTTTTTATTACAGATTTTCAACTATTTTTAGATCAAGTCCCACTGGGTAGTCAAGTCTCACCTTTGGCTTAACCCTTTACGGCCCGGTGTTGACTACCGGTAACATCGATCTATTAAGTATCGAAGGAATTTCGTTCTAAAAGAATACACTTTGCCGATCCCTGTCACAGCAAAACAATAAATATAAAGGGAGGAATATTTTTATTGGTTAATTTTTGACAGCCGGCAGAAAAGAAATATGCACAGAAGGGGATATTGTTACTAAATGGCTTATGCAGCCGAACAAAAATTCTGGAACGACTCACGAATTGCAGACTCGATCGGTAACGCGTTTTATTTCGTTTTTAACGATCAAAAAACGCGTTTTTTGTACGTTTTTAACGCAAAAATAACGTGTTTGTAGGGTGTTCAAAAGACTGTTTTAACGCATTTCTTGATCGTTAAAAACGGGAAAAAAACGCGTTTTAGGGCCAATTTTTTTGTGCTTGGGTTAGCTGCATTTTTTATAGCTAAATTTAGTGTTGATCCTTGACTTGATATAACAAACTGGTATTATTTTGTGACCACAATACGAGAATGTGTAAAGTAACTTTGATGCAACGTAGTGTTAATTCTGTTCATAATATGATAAGGAAATCATACTTAACTTTATTTTCGTTTTCTTCGTGGAATTTTATTTTATTTTATAAATTTATTTACAACTGCTGAACGTTTCGAAGTCTAAACCGACTCCTTCTTCAGTAATACAAATTATATGAATAACAAGTAATTACAAAATAGAACACACTATATACGAGAGCTCATTAAAACTGTGTGCGAAGGATGTTCTCTAGTATACATATTGTATTCAAGTATAAGGGTGTGAATGTTTTCTTCACATATGGTGAACGGTAGCTTATCGGTCAAACTCGTAAACGAACTAAAAGACCTCATCCTTTCTCACTTTTATTTTGAGATCAAATGTCATGAGATATGAAAGTTGGTCAAATAGAGCTAAGTTGAATCTGAAGAGGAAATTAATAAACACATGAAGTATCGTAAAATCACATCCAACAATATAGTAATAGAACTAAACTAAGTAGCTGTTCAACGGAAAAAATTATTGCCATTGCGGGATATAAACTAGTCTTATCTGACCACGTCCTGTGAAAGAAAAAATATAGTTCTAATTTTACTTAGGGCATACCAGGAGTAGTGATTTTGACACTTTAATATCGTATAATAAGCTTTAAGAAATTTCTCTCTATATAGTCTGATAGAGAAAAGAATGCTCTATTTTTCTATGCTATTTGATCATATTTCAACTAAAGTTATAATAACGAAATTCCTCTAAGAGCTGTTTTTTCGCATGTCTCACGGTTATACTGACACTCATTTCAAAAAAACTGAATGAATATTTTTTGAATAACTTTTGATAGAAACAAATAGAGAGCTGCGGTTTTCACCGTTGGAAAGAGCAGATAAAGATGCATCGAATGGCACATTATAAAATTTTCCGAGCTGCGTGTTATATGGTTTTCAATTGACCTTTTTAAGAACAACTCTATCCTGTAAGATGTTTACAGTGAAGTGTCAATAATCAGGTGCGCATTCAAACTACTAATGGAAGAACTACAAACTGCGGAAGGCTGAGATGAATAATACATATTCTAGTTGAGCCTTTAATACGATTTTCTAGCAATTTCCGTGAGAAATGCTCACTTTTATGCTTTTTCCTTTTTTCATTAAAAAAAACATTTTCCCGATAGTTAGAAAATTGAATACAAATACTTCAGAAACCAATATTACAAAAACTTATAATACAGGATTCGATGCATCTTCATCTGTTCTTTCCAATGGTGAAAAGCGCAGTTCTCTATCTTGTTTCTATCAAAAATTATTCGAAAAATACTCACTAGCATTGCTGTAACCGTGAAACATGCGAAAAAACAGCTCTTAGAGGAATTTCGTTATTATAACTTTAGTTGAAATATGATCAAATAGCATAGAAAAATAGAGCATTCTTTTCTCTATCAGACTATATAGAGAGAAATTTCTTAAAGCTTATTATACGGTATTAAAGTGTCAAAATCACTACTCTTGGTATGCCCTAAGTAGTAATGTTTATATTTATAATAGCTTTGTGACTTAAACATATAAGTCATGAAGGAGAAATAGAAAGGGCTCGTTCGAGTTTTAATAACCAGTTGTTAGCACAGAAATGGTTTCTTTATTTTGCCTGAAATTATGTTTTTTCATTTTATATCATCATTCGAGAATATTATCACAATTAGCAATTAGCTAATCGTGATGATATTCTCGTGGGAGTGGTTGGCAAGACAGTAGAATCATCTATAGAAGTTGGAAAGTTGAAAGATCGTACGTTGATCCCGGAACACATGCTGAAAAAATAACTGATATTAAGTCATCTCTAATTTTTACTAAAATGACTGAGTTCATTTTTTCGTGTTCTTTCTTTTTCATACATCTGAATGCTTTAACGTTCCCTTCGCCAACGCGTTTTCACTCATGTCGTATTTTATTGAATGTATTTAATTAAATTTAAAGGTAGTTTCGTAATAATGGTAGGAAACAAACTCGTAATACTAAAATGGAATAGCGTGACGACCTCACTCAACAGAAGTAAATACTTCAAAAAAAGTAATTAATTTAATAAATCGATGAATCGTTGCGGTACAATGTCGATACTTTTGTGACAAAGTTCATATGTCTGCGAAAAACTATTGTAAAGCTTTGGAAAATGTCTCTTTTTGAAGAGAGCATTTGCTCTCTGAAAGTATGTATAATTGTGACTCCTTCAAGAATTCTTATAAACCGTGTATTTTTGAAAATAGAATTCTCGTAATGTATTTGACTAGGTATATACTAACTTCTTTCTTTTTTTGCACTTCAAAACTCGATCATTATGACTTCTTGTTTTTACGCTAAACTATATAAAATTATCAAAGATCGCCCTCAAATAATTAATTTCATGTCCATATAATTTTGTCTATAGTGACGATTTGTTCGACGGAAATTAAATAACTCTTGCAACGCGCCAATAACTTCAAAACTAATTTGAATATATTTTTTTGATGAAACTCAATTTGAACGATGTTATTGATTAAGTTTTTTCTTCTAAATCCGTTGTAAAACCTTTTTGCAAGATTTCTCTGTTTTTCTGTCGATTTCTAAAATGGAGCAATGTTCAAAGAAAAAATCACTTGTTACTATTCGAAAATGGCTTGAAACATCTAAATATCAACAAATAGAACCTCTAGTAAATAAGAGTAATTTTAAAAAAGTTAATGGACAGAAATGTTTGCCATATACAAATGTAAAAAGAAAATCAACAAGTCGAAAACGATGTGGTGGTCCACCGTGGCTACACCCACAAAACACATCATACATTCCTTTATCAACTACTATTTGTTCGCAATCTCGTTCAGTAACCGATAAACTCTATAGTCTTTACTGTACAGTCAAAGATGTTCTCTTTACAACACATAATAGCACAGATCAATCAACTAGGAGACAATTATCACGTCATTCATGCTCGTGTACATCAGTCACCGCATATTCTCTTCAAATCTTGCCATCTTGTTCTGAATTAATATCAAAACAGCAGAGAGATCAAATATCACCCACGACAGTAATTCTAGAGCAAGAATCCGTTATCGAACAGAATAAAAATAACCCAAGCCTCATGTAAGTCATATGTGCAGGATCGATTGCATTTCTATACGCTGACCTACTTTTGTGAAACTTCTCAGAAATTCAGAGGAATGTTCATATTACTATCGTTTTCAGAACATAATGCGCCCGACTATTTTGAATAACTCAATAACGAAAGGTGGTAAAAAGTTGCGATTTTGACCGCTCGATAGTCAAGACTTAAAATCATCTTTTCTGAACCAAAAAGAATGTGAAGGATTTCTAGGGAAACCAGTTCATAACTGGAAAGTTAAGGCAGGAATATATATTTTTTTTCATGGGTAAATAGCCTACAGTGTCCACTTCAAAATGGGATTCAAGCGAGAGCTTGGTTTTCAGTGATTTGGATGTGGTGACCTGGAGTAACCTTGAAAGTGCAAGAGACATACGTAATCGACCACGCTAAATCTGGTGACAACGTTTATTCTCGAAGGGAAAATCAAAGCCTAATGGAAACCGTATTTTATGAAAACTGGAATTTTACCGATTCATAACAACAAATTTACACAGCAAAGTTAGCAAATCTTATGGTTTTCTGAAAGGATTTCTAGAAAATCGTTGAACAAAAAATTTATTTCTCAATCTATGCGATGGTCGATTTAGCGTGGTCGATTACGTATGTCTCTTGGACTTTCAAGGTTACTCCAAGTTATTGAATTACTCAAAAAATAGTCAGGCGCACTATGTTCTGAAAACAATAGTAATTCAATTTATTGATACCCAGCCTACCATTTACAGTTAAAATTCTATTCAAAGTTTTACATATGATTCTTAACCAAGAACTAAAAAAGATCTATCCAATCTTTAACTCGCCAAAGCTAGCGTAAATGAGTTGAAGCTAGCTAATGCGTTTGAATTGGGCGTTAATCGTTTAATTAAGCGTTCACTCGATCATCTAGTGGGAGCTAGAAAGTGGGGACTTGCTCAGCGCAGCTAGCTATTTGACACAAAAATTTACTCTTAAGCGGACGCCTGAGTTATTTTATAAGCTAAATTTCCGTGCTTACTCTTTTTCGCCTGGGATAACATGGCTGATCAGTCTAGATATTTTATGTTTTTTAGGGATAAAAAAATCTTCACTCATGGAAAATCAATAAAAACGAATCATCATACGGCAAGTCAAACGGTTAACATCGAATTATTGAATAAAAATAGCCGAAAAAGAAAATGTGTCGATGATACTATTATTTGTCAAGGACATGAACAATTCTTAAAAAATAAATCCGACTCAGATAAACATCATCCAAGACGAAATTCTGAAAATGTAGTGCAGAAACATCGCTGTATCTGCGAATTACAGTCTAGACAAAATTTCCTCGAGCAACAGGATAGTCAACTAGAACTACAATCAGGTGCGAATAGTTTCAAATCTAGACATTTAAACTTCGAGTAACATTCTTTGAAGCGTACTTAGATATTCGCTGTATATTTCTAGAAGTTATAAACGTTCATCGTATAAAACGCTCATTAGAGGATGAATATTTAGTTTGCAAACATCGCTCTTATGCAGATTCTTTTTCAGCTTCACTGGCATCTATCGATAGTAAACAATGTTGCAAAAAATGTTCTAATAACCGTTCAAAACACACAAAATCTACACAAACTCAACAACGATATCCGAATGATGCATCTCTTGCAATCAAGTTGAAGAAGGAGCAAGAAACAATTGGAGATAACATATCTGTTGTTGAGAATCCAAAGCCGACTTGTATTGATGAGAAACTAGAACAGAATACGGAGAACGATGTTACATTAACTCGACTTGATAATGGAGACACAACAAGCGAACAACAGTGGTTTCGTTCATCTATTACCTCAAATGTTGAAGTTTGCTTAATTCAAGATAATCAAGTACCAAATCAGACGATGTTTCCAGTACATCCACCTCAGTATCCAATATTTTATAATCCATATTGTTTTTCAATCAATTACTTGGGTAAACGTCGATTGCCATATACTCCAATGTTTTTACCATGTAGTCTTCCACCAGTACCTATCGGTGCTGGTGATTGTGTAACATTGGATTTATCACCTTTAATAGAGAAAAATGCGATTAATTCCCATGAATCCATGAAAACAACTGACTCTAATTCAAAAAATATCAGTAAGTAATTTCAATTATATTCTACCACTAGTGACACTGTCGTTTTACCTCGTCAACCAGGACGACCAGTTCATGGCTAAGAAAGAATTCGTTTACAGTAGTCTTTAATCAGACATTTTTTTAAAATCATCAATAACACACTCAGTTATCAGTACTGATATTCAATTCGAGTTCGCATCACCGTTAATGGATCGTTTTATCGCTGTTGTTAAGTTGTTAATTGGCAGCTGTATAACGTCCAGTTGTCCATTAGTGTAAAAGATCCACTTTGTTCACCGTTTGGTGCTATTACTGTAGCATATATAAGACACCGATTCTCTCGAAAAAACTTGGAAACTTTTGCTTCGTAATATACACACGAGTCATTGAAACTTGATGAAGGATGTAGTCCTTTGTACTGAAACTAGTACCGAGGATCACAAAAATTAAATAATGATCAAAGCAACAACACACAAACAATGTTTTTTATTTACGATGAAAAACAAGTCAGTTAATGGCATCGTTTTTCATCACTCGATTTGATTTCTTGCAGCTGCTCAAGATCATCAGTTGTCTGATATATCAGCAGCTGACAGAGTAAAAATCTCGTTACCATTGTCCACATCGGATTCCTTATCCATTTCTCCATTAAATGCGGTGAAAAATGGCACAAACTTCGAGCTTAATCAAAGTGAATGTGCCTCAAACCGTTCATCATTATCAGCTAGATCGCAACAAAAAACTGATAAATCAATAAATTTTAGTTTAAAATCAAAAGAATCCGCTACTGACACAAGAATATTAAATTTTGATTGTCGAAATTGTTTAATTGAATGCTACCATAATGATGAGCATCCATCAACTCCTGCGAAACAAACAGTTTACTTTTTGAGCAACAAAAATAATAATGCAGTGGTATCGTCGTCTCCTCAAAACAGGAGTGAGACAATAAGAACAACAATGTGTAAAGTACCAACAACATCGAGAAGCAAAATAAGCCTAAGAACAACGATATTTGCTGAAAACACATGTACGTTGATTAAAAATGCTTGGTTATCAATCTGACGATCTTCAAGCACTTCTATTGTTAAAATACAAGTTGTATATCTAGATATTTTATTACAGTTTGAATATGAGCAGCAACAATTAAATATTACTAAATAGCGATTACGCTATGCAAAGAGAGCATCGCTGCTCCAGATTATCCATACTATCTGGGAACTCTACATAAAACTACTCCCGTGAGTAGGGGAGCTATTGTAGTTTTATCTATACTCTCTTTCTAAATGGATCAAAAAATTGAGCAAAAATTCTCAATTGATATATCTTCAACACGACATGCTAAAATGTAACACTTTTCTCACACTTATCACGCATCGAGCGTCTGTATCAGATTCCTGTTTCGCTGAAAAAAGGACATTTTCTCCCAAACTGTATGAACCAAATCTGAAATAATAAAAGAGAAACAAATGAGTACTAAAATCCAATTGTTTTTGAACAACATCTGAAACGGAAATTGTATAACGGTATAGTAGCGATACGTCACAACGGCAAGACTCCATCAGATACAATCGTGCAATAAACTAACAGTTCAGGAAGCTCAACAAGTACCTGTTCACTCTAACTAATTACTTAAGAGCACCCCTCTCCTCTTTCTGGGCTTTCTGTAGCAATGATGTGACATAAAAACTAAAAGTTACTAAGGCTTCATACTTTCAGAACTGAGTGGAAATTCAATGGAGTCTTTTTTCGTTTTTATTTCAAGTTTTTAACTATTACCGTTCACGAGTTGTTCGGAAAACTCGGTTTTTCATTGTGTTACATTACGACCCCCGTTAAACTTCATCTGATCGAGCTAAAAATTTTACCCAAGGTACTCACCGTAATATCGTAGAAGTAGTTTTGGGGAATTCTTTTTAAGACCTTTCCTTGTCGAGTTATAGAAAAAATACTGAAAAACGTCTCAGAAACCAAGTTTTTCAATTTCAGAAACCGTATAACTCGGTAAAGGCAGATCAAAAATAAACTTCATCAGTAGCAACAAAGTTTTCGAGAAAAACGCATTTTATACACAGGTCACTTTTCTCAAGGCATCTGCCGCGATGCTAACACCTCCACGAAAACCCATTGGAAATTTCTAGAAAACATCTCGTTATGAAGAAAACACTTTCTCCTATCAGACTATGTGAAAGAAAAAATTTTGAATGTACAGAAAAAGAGAGAAGAGCTTATGAGACTAAAAAATTGAGTTTTTTAGGCTTTGAAGGAAAAACTTCAAAAATGCATAACTTTTTGGAAAAAGGTTGTGGAATGCTGGGACCGGTCTCATTTTGTAGTCCACACTTTCTTCTACATTAGGCTATGGTCAAATCCGAAATTTTTTAAAAAAGAGGCGTGGAGTATCCTTAAATTAACTGAACAACGTAAACAAGATAGTTGATAGTTGAGTGAGTTGTCCATGATAGATGATTGAGAAACAACTCTTTCTCCATTACGTTTTACATTCAGTTAACGGTCGCTTTTTATGTTGACGTTTGTACTTCAGTTTCTTTTTGTCTCCCTATTGGTGGCTGAATAGCAGTGAATATTTGTGCTGTAGTATACGATTTTGGATCTATTTGTTGTTCGTACGTTGGTACAGAAAATTTAATATTAATGAATGCATCTTGACCTCCATATGTTTCGAGTGTCAATAACGTTTCATCAATAAGACGTCCTAAATCCAATTTATTTCGTTGTCCATAATCAACTCGATCACATCTACAATCATCACTTTTTCGTTGTTGGATCCGTTCTTTAAATGCATTAATCATTGGTAACAATTCATTAAAATACGGAACCAATCCAGCACCAATTCCACCATCATTTCCTGATGCTAACTTCTGTAATACGAGTAGAACACTTCGAAATATCATTGAATTGCGTGTATAAAGTGCACGCTTTAATGGAACAATCATTTTCGATAATGTACCTAAATCGATTTTATGTGAAGCACGTTCAATAAGATCTAATATACCTTGTTTTGCTATAAAATGATACGGATATTTTGTTTCACAGAGGCCATCAGTAAATATGGGTAAATAATAGTCAATATTTAATTTTTCAATATCGACTACAGCCCATTTCACTCGTTGACCGTCTGCAACATGCAGTATAGAACATGGCAAATCACCCCGTTCATATAATTGTTTAAACATTTTGGAATGACATGAACGGACACAAAAGGCACATAATCGGGGTGGAAGACATATTTGCGCACATGGCTGTAATGATTTAATGGAGAACGCCGGCGTACAATTTGTTTCACATTTCATGATGATTATAGTCTTTATAACCAAGTGTGTGATTTCAATATAAATAGGACATAGCAAAAAAAAAATCTATGTTTATCGATTTTAAAAAAACCTTCTTACTCTGCTTGCATCTAAAAGTACAAACTACTTCATCTTACACTAGACTGTATCCCCTAGAAACAAAATCTTTTAATTAAACAGAAGAAAGTAAGCGCACTCATCTCTAAAATCAATTTCATTGGTTGTTTGAAATTTCAACAATCTAACTGGTTTTCGTAAATGTTAGAATCCATTTCTCATTCGTGTTATTATAATAACTTGATGAGTGATGACGTATTCAGATCATATCACAAACATAGTAGACAATTGACTTTGATACCCGCTCATGTTGAGTTATTCATGGTTCTCACACTGATATTGTTTTCATTAAAAATACCTTTCTTCCTGATAGAGTTACTTCGAATTAACAAAAAACATGAATTATAAAAAGCACAAACAAAAAAAATCTAGCTCGACTATTTTCGAATAACAGATTGACAAAAAAAATTGATGATATCAGTCTCTAGTTTTTTCTTGATTGATCAAATCTTGATGTTTTCTTATACAACGGAATCAACTGTTTTTCTACGTCCACAACATAAATATATCAACAAACCTAAAATAGAAAAGCAGGACGTATAATACTTTACTTAGAACAAGATCAACAAAATCCAAACACACTCTAAAAGAGGTGTTCAATATCGACAAAAACTTATTAATTTATCTTGAAAGTTGCGTTCTGTCTACTACTCAGAAGGAATAGTGATATGATGTATAAAGATATACTCCTGAAGAGTAAAAGAATAGTGGAATATGTTTTAGTAAGAATCTTACCTCCTACTGGAAAGAAAATAATTAATAAAATCCAAAGTAATTTTGATCCTAATCCACGACCAGATTTTAATAGTTCAAATACTGCAATAAGATCCAAGATCAAAATAATCTATAAAACAGTATATTTCATTTTAGAAAAAGAACGAACGCAAATTAATGATACGTACCAATCCTAGAACGCCTCCAATCGATGATCCGATAACAATTTGATTATTATTAGTATGTTGAAGACATATAACTTGATTGACACATAACAATACCAATAAACCGAACATGATTCCTTGATTCTTAAACATTTTGTAACAACTGAGGACAATAATTAAGTTTCAATGACTAAAATTAAAAAAAGTAAAAAGATTGCTTAGGATTGAACCATCAATAGTCTCATATATGAGTTAACTGCATTTCAAAACAGATCCCTTTGTCTAACTAAACATACCTTAAGAAAAACAATCGATCATACCACTTCGTATTGGCTTTCCAGGACACAGTAGTTGGTTATTTTTAGCTATTCAAAGATGCCTTATAAATCCAATTCGGACTCGTACAGCGGTTTTTATAAGGAGACAAAGGAAGAGGAAATATTCTCTGTGAAAATAATTAATCGGAAAAAAATTTTAAAGACTGCTCAAAATTCTTGTAGCAGTACCAACATATACACGGCACTATAAAAGTTATTTCTTCTGAGTCTTCTAAACGCCGCAGTTTGGGTGAAATTATTCTAGTATAATGCTCAGATATATTTAGAATTCTGTCCTAAATTGAAGGCTTATGCGTCTTGCGCATCACTGTATGTTTGCATTTCTTTCAGATTAATAATACAGAGTTTTTAATATGACTTTTGAACTCCCACGAGAACAGTTTCGAACTGATTTTTTACGACTGAAAAGTTGACTTAACATACAAGGAAAGTCATGCAAGTTTAGTGCAGATATCTTCCGATCGTACAGTTCTCAATTGGTTTCAGGAATTTCAACGGAGCAATTTCAGCATCAAAGATTCAGTCTATTTAGGTTGTCCTACTACTACTATCAACGAACAAACAATCCATGCTGTCCGAACAACCACTGAAGATGATCCTCATTCAACATACAAACCAACAGAAGATATCCTAGGCATTGGTTCATCAGCAGTGAATTCAATTATCCATGACTCCTTGTATTTAATCATTTGGGTTAACTCAAAAAAGTCTTAGTTTTATGTAACGATAAGCGGTGGTAATGAGAGCATGACACTTCAGTAAGTGTGTTTGTGTGAGATAAGTTATATTTATTCATTTTTTGCCGGTTCGCCTGCATTAAGTAACTTGCCTTCAGAGTAACCCTTCTATAACAAAATCTTTTGAGGAACGGTGTTAAATGTGGCATAGGAAAAGCAAGACTCAAAATGTCTTTGCTAATTAGTAAAAATGTAGTTGTCAAACATTTTGTTCATTAGTAAAAAAACGTGTTTCGAAAACGCTGGACTCGTGAACTCTTCGACTATCATTAGGCCAAGTACTACTATATCCTACAGCTTATCCTTTTAAAAGCTTCATACTACATGGTCTACGTATCCCCTGGAAAGAAAAAGTTTCATTCGTGTTTTTGAGTTTATTATGAATACACAAACACATTTTAGAAAAATAATTATATATTATGATAGTGCTTGAAATTCCTATTAGTCGCTGCTTTACCAGCCTGGATTCGATATTATTTGCTAGCAGAAAATTTGAACACCTACCACATTCCCATCAATTGCACAAGCCTGAAAATCTTATCATATGCATGCAACGTCAAATATTTTCCTATAATATGGAAGCGTTAACAACAGTCTACACATTCATATCCAACATGTTCAGAAAACATTCAACTTCAATCAGAAAAAGACCAGACAAACACAGCTAACCATCCACTTTATGTACATTTTTACCAGATATTCTCCATATGGTTAAATTTAAAAATTTGCTCAGTCGTTTTTTAATATTCAGTTCCTAATATTTGTATTCCTTCTTAACAATATTCAAAACTTTTGCAAGCAAATAATATTGAATCCAGACCGGGAGAGTAATAGGGAATTTCAAGCGCTATCAGAATATATAATTATTTTTCTAAAATGTATGTGTATTCATAATAAACTCAAAAACATGACTGAAACGTTTTCTTTCCAGGGAGATACACATTCATCAACCCCTTATCTTTCGACTCATCGAAAACAAGATGCTGTTCCTTTTACTGTGTACATTCATTCGCAATATGTCAAATCAAAAATCATCCTGAAAAATGAAAAATAAGACACACGTGTATGCTGATGGGAATGTAAAAGTCCATGAACCCCCAAGTGTTATCAAATTCCAATAACAGTTACGTCGAACGATAGAAAATAAGACTAAAACTAAGGTTTTACAGTAGTTTATTTCAACTGTTGCTTCTAAAAGGATCGAGTTAGTCAGTATTACTCACCCACGAACACTATGATATTTTCTTAAATGTTTTCTCTGAATGTCTGATCACCTAGATAGAACTAAGGGAGTTACTGAAAGAATGAAAATAAAACTACTGCACTAAACGATTTCTCAACTTTTTTTCAAAAACGAAATGAAACGTTATATTGCATTTCTTGTTACTACAGACTATAGAAAGACGAACACTCTCTATAGAAATTTGCGAACATTTGCCAAAAAGTGAAAAGATAGAGATATTTCTTATTTGATGCGACTATCTATTCATTAGACATCCAACAAAGATGGGAAATGTACGAAAATGTATTTACAATTTCTTACATTTTACATTCTTTCTCAGCTGACCAGAAGAAAATTTTCTTCTGGTCAGCTGAGAAAGAATGTAAAATGTAAGAAATTGTAAATACATTTTCGTACATTTCCCATCTTTGTTAGATGTCTATTTTGAAAAAAAGAAACCAAACAGACGTCCTATTTGTTTAGAGATCTGATATGTACAAATGAAAACAGACCGACATAAACTGCGTCGAGTTCAACAGGTTCAGCGTTATAAGTTCTTTTGTTCGGTCAGTTTATTCAACTGATAGAACAGCAATTGGGGTGGTCTAATGCATGGTACTAACGCATAATAATTCTTGGAAATTAATACATTTGAGCTTACCGTGTGGGTGAAATAAAATGAGAAAGGTAAATTTAATTTGCTAGTGTAACGAGATGAGATATAAATAATAACACGTGATATGACTTTATGAGCTGCTCAGAACTGTGTCCGCTTACCACTCGCACTTGAAAAAATAACGCTAGAAGTGAAAAATGAGATGAAGACTTTTCATAATGCATCATTGGTGCAACAGAAAATGTTTTTGATGGTCACAGATGGAAGTCATTATAAGTGATGCACTATTACCAACATATGTGACAATTCTCCAACGCTTTTGACTCTTTAAAAATGGAAGATATTAGATATAGTCGCTCACAACACAACTATCGTTTTTGTTTGATCAATAGCATGCCGAATCTCAAATTACATTATATCACTTAATCTCTTTTGATTAACACGTCGATACAATAGAATTGTATAGGCTTAAAATTAAAACATGTTCTAAATATAAGATCATTCGTTTCATAAAAATAAGTACACAGAAGAACAGAAATGCATGATATCTCTCGCTTTTAATTTAACAATATCTTGTATTATCATGTCATAAAAAAGAAGTCGTATATTAATATATTTGCAATAATTAAAAAGTATTTTAATTTGTTGATGTTTATCTGTAGAGACTGGCTGTAGTCTATACTTGTTGAAAATGCCCACCCAACATACCGTGATATACAAAAGTTTGGACGCAAGCAGTGCGATCCATCTCATTTTGCACAGCTCGGCGATTTGTACGAATCTGTTGAAAACCCAACCCTCCATCTCCCGTTCCTGAGTTATGCTCATTTTAAAATGAAGAGTAGTGACTAAAAATCGGTCAGGTTATAGACTTCTAAATCATAGAGTTTTCGACTAACAAAGCTGAAATTTACAGTTTATAGGCAGCTTTTAATGCTGATTCTAGTGCCACCTTTAGAAATTCATTTGCTAGAACTCTGCAAGGCTTTTTAGCCAGATTTTTACCTAAGCGTGCTTTTTTATCGTGGGTTTTCAAGGTTTTTTATTCTTCATTATTTCTGTGATTTGTAGAAAGAGAAAGAGAAGGTAGCGCTCGATTTTTAAGATGGTTTGCATATCAGAATAGTTGAGTGATCCAAGTCGTTGTGTAGCAGAGAGTTCTTTGTTTTTTGCTACACTTTTCCCACATCGAAATGCCACAGAAGAAACCATGGCTACAACTTTTTTTCTAACTAGGTTATAGACTTACGGTTTTCATCATTCGGTTCCGCTTGCTGAGCTCTATGTAACATGAGGTAGGTCTCGCCACTGAGTTCAAAGGCTAATTGTGCATTGCTTTCTGAGTAAAATAAAGCCATCCGGGGCTTTCTAGCACGTTTCTAGGCTTCTCTCTTTATCTCAGCCTACAAATGCACTAGAAGACTGGCAACTCATTCTGCTCAGAATTTGGTGCTCTATCGAGCAAGAACTCTTGTGACTAAAATGGTTTTTGATAGGATTTTGAAGGTTTTCCAGAGATGCGGTTTTCTGAAAAAGTAGCAAAATCAACATCATCAGTCTGCTTCATCGCTCTCAGATGTTGATGACAATGATAATGATGATGTACGACCGGTACATGTTGCGAAACCTTTTTTCGTAAAGCGATCTTGAACAAGTTTCTGAGAAAGAGTTTACAAACAGAAAAAGAAAGGGTTTCAAAACTCACGAAAATCTTTTTTAGGGGTTTTCAAAATGTTACTATATGAAACCTTTTTAAGTATTCGAGAGTTCGACTATTTCGAAAACCTTTTTGAAAGATATTCGAGGACAAAATTAAGCTGAAGAAAGAAAGGGTATGCGAACAGGAAAAGCGTTTTCGAAGGTTTGAAAACCCTCTTCTCGAAAACCCAAAAGGGTTTCATGTAGTAACATTTTCGAAAACCATTTTTAAGTTTTCGAGAACACCCCTTTTATTTACATTGTACGCTTACAGATGATATCGCAAGTAGTGAGGATACGTTTTATATAGCCTAATTTTTCTTCTCTGATATCATTTACAGTGATGTTTGTATGAGAGGAAGTTGCTGCTGCAGTTAATATTGGAATGAAATAGTAGGAATTACTGCTACGGTTGGCATTCGTCGAGGAGACGGCATCGTTTAGGGGTCGAAGGATGGTGCCTAAATGGAAGAGAGAAATAAGGTTAAGAAGAAATGCTAGGACGCCGATTAGGAAGCAAGACAAGCTACAGTCAGACTTAG